TGTCGGTTCACACCCCATCGCAAGCCAGCAAAACATCCACAAAACAAAGAAAGGTCTGTCACAGCCAAAAAATACACTCCAGACACGCCGCTGGCACTATATATCAATGTGTATACTTTGGTTCATCGTTAAATTCATAGCTTATGACTAGGCCGCCCCAACTTAGGGGTACGCCTAGTCTCATGCCTTTGTTCCACTTCAAATAAAACACACAGAACTTGGTCCACGCAACTTAGAACATCCCAGTTTTGCTTTAACAATAAATAAAAAAACATCAGGAATCTGAGCCTCCCAACTTAGGGCGTCCGTCCTCCTATTCAAAAACTTCAAAAAAAACAAGTGACCGGACCGTCCAACTTAGGATAAACCCTATCTTAAGAAGGTCATGCATTCAGCCTAAGAGAAAAAAATAAAACATAACACTAAACTACTCAACTCATAGTGATCTAGCCTTTGGTTGACCCAATCAAACGCAAGAAAAAATATTAAAGTTTACCCCGTTGCCGGCGACTTCGACTGCCTATCGAGGTTCTCAAAAAGCGAATTTGGTAAGTTACGAGTTTAAGCGAAAACGACAACGTAAGGTAAGTAATATAATACTTAGAGGAAAAAAAAATGTACATTCGTTGTCAAGATATCCTTGTAATCGCACTCGTGTGTAGGGTAGGTTAGACATTTGTCTAGGAACACATTAAGAACGCATGTGTATCTTGGTCTTTACTATCGCAACTGCTGTTAGAAATTTGTGCATACTGGCACCATACAGTTTATGGTGACGCTATGCGCATTTAATGCATTTATGGGCATGTATGTTGCTATACCCACCAGTTACTCTAGCAAGGATTATGGTACTTGACACAACCGCTAAGTTACCTGAGTTCTCGTGACACATTGCCACATACCTTGATACGCTCAGGTAAGAAGTAGGTCTAGTTAGGATGAGAATCTCTAGGGATTGTGAAAGTTAGCCGATAACGCGAATTTCGAGTGTGTACCAAAATTCCTGCAGGGAAATAGACTCGAATAGTCAAAACAAAAACTACAATTTATAACATATGTTTGCACTACATGTCAGATATTTCTATGACAATTTCGTTTTTGGTTGCACGAGGGGTCGTTTATTTGCCATAACCATGTAAGAACAAAAAAAAAGGATGGGTTTTGAGTCTTTTGACCTTCCGTTAGCAGAAATAATTGGATGTGATTAAAAACTTTTGAAAGTGTTTTTGCCTTAAGTGCGATTTACATAGTTTAAGAGCACTTCAAGCCGCATGTGCATCTTAGTCTTTATTATGACAGCTAATGTTAGAAATTTGCAAATCCCCGTACCATAGAGTTTTTGGTGATGCTATGTGCATTTAATACATCTACATACATTTGTATCACTATGCTTACCAGTTACTACTTGAGTTACTATAGTACACAGCTCGATACGCTCACATTAGAAGTAAGTCTAGGGATAAATGTTATTTTGGGATCTCAATAGTGGACCTTGAATGCAAGATGAACCGGGACTCTCGAGGCATTGGAGCGAAAATCGATGTTTAAGGAGCAAAGCAGGAAAAGTAACAAGTATCCCTGCCTATGTTGTTGTGAAACAGGAAAGCAATGGACGGAGAAGGTGTGTCACAATGCCTCATGTATGCTATGACATTGCGACACCATTTAAGATTGAAGAAATGACAGTGCCATATGCAAGGATTGGGAGGGAAAAAAATGATGAAAGGTAAGGACTCCCATACGAAAAAACGTTTTTATTTTGGTAGAGGCAAGATGAAAGATCTCTAAAACACATATTAAAGTAAGGGTGATATTGTATATTCCTCGCACCTTTGAGCTTCCCACGAGGTAGACCTTGCCTTAGGAAAAGGGAAATCCCTCTCTGCGGCTGATACGTGGGTTAGAAGACTAAGTCAAGGAAAAAATTATCAGAACACAACCATAATTCGAGTAACTGTTAAAAAGTCTGCATTAAAAAAAAGATACAATAAAGCTATTAAGCTTAAAACTAGCGCTAAAGATATGGCAGCATATACGATATTATTAAAAAAAATGACTACTAAATCTCCTATATAAATTCCTAATTGAATTAAATAAGCTACATTAATTAATAAGACGTTTAAAAAAAATAAATTATAAGCAAATTATAATTTTCAATTTAAATTACTTTCATTTGATTTGTTGTGTAATGGTAATATACATATTATTGTATATTGATTATATATGATTATATATGATAGAATACATTGTAACCATAAAAAATATTAGCTATGAATAACTATAATTTAAATATTTATTACCAATATTTTTGATAATTGTAACATATTCTGATTATTATTATATCTTATTATTTATCTTATATTATACTGCATGAATTACATTATTTAAGTTATATATAAATTATCTTTTCATATAGATTATTAGATTTTTTTTTTTTAATTATGAATATTCATTAGAAAGATAACATTAAAATCTTCGATTTTCAATCAATTGAATATTCTCATATTCTTTTCCAAATGCTTTAGTCACCAAAGCATCTTTAGAAGAATTAAAAGGTAACCGTCCCAAGGCTATTCGATCATAGTTGAGTTCATGTCGATCATATACARAAAGCTCATACTCTTCAGTCATAGATAAACAACTAGTTCGACAATATTCAACACAATTCCCACAGAAAAGACACACTCCAAAATCGATGTTATAACTTTGTAGCTTTTTTTTTTCTAATATCTTGTTGAAAATTCCAATCAACAACAACTACAGGTAGATTAATAGGACATACTTGAACCATCGTCGTTTCTCTTTCGAACAATGTTTTTAAGAGTTGTCCTCCGTAAATTCATTATTGATGAAGCCTTTGGGGAACTAGCCAGGGTAGGAACGGCAACAACAGCAGCACAAACTATGACCGCAACTGGTTATGAGTTTTACACTCCCAACCTGATACATAGTCTCTATTTGGAAATGGGCCCCGCCTTCACACATAAGAATCTTTGCTATATCTGGGCGATCGTGACCGTCTTTGCTAGACATTTTAGCAAGTCGACGTCATTGGAGGGATTCATTGACAAACGGCCAAACGGGCGCTATTGGGGGGACTTCAAGAAATGAGTTGAAACCGTTGGGGGTGTGGGGTGGGGGGTGTACTGACAATTCCCCCTTTCTTCCGTCATCTACCTCCAATCCTCAACAGCCTATAACCAAACAAATGGGAGATCTGCCCGGGAAATCCACAACATCCAATGACCCTATTTGATTACCGTCTTCCCCCGAACACAGCGCACCCTCATTTTGGCTGTATCTGGCCGGAAATATAGCTTGTATACGTTCATTTTTAGGGTGCGTTATATTCGGGGGATGACGGTAGTCAGATTCATTCAACGGTGCACACTTGGGAGCTGACATTCATCTCATCGTACACGTCCGATCCAATGGTCCACATTCAATGATCAACTTTCAAAGGCCCATCCTTGCACTTTGTAATGTGGTTGGCTAATGGTCCAAGTCCATCCAATGGTCCACATTCATTCTGTGGTCCGTATTCGATGATTCACATCCATTCAATCGTCCACATTCATTCCATGGTCCGCATTCGATGATCCACAACCATTCAACGATCCCCATTCATTCTGTGGTCCGCATCCGATAACCTAAAAATATTCAATAGTCTACATTCCATGGTCCAAATGAAACACATCGCGAGCTAATGGATACGGTACAAAGTTACAAACATTCCTTCGGACGTACTCAAACAAGGACTTTTTCAACTTATCTGTGGACCTGATTGCGGTCAGGTACATCCAGAGCATACCATAATTGTGGCCAGAGGCGTCCAAAAGAGGTCACTGTGCGAATATCCATCCATCCCATGGTCCACTCAATCAATCACCGTTTTTCTGATTTCTTTTTGGCCAGAGCAAGTTTTTCAATGTCAAAGTTGAACATACCTCAGCTGTATGATGACCCCTGCATTCCCTTTTCTTTTCTTTTTCTTTCGACCCCCGAGTTCTTTCCTTGCGAGTTCTTTCATGGGAAAACCCACAACTTCTCCGTCACCCACGTCAGCTCTGCTATCTTCTTCTCATAATTTCTCCTTTACACCCCATCGGTACCGATCAGGCGACTTTCTCCTGAAGAAAAAATTGCAATTTGAAAGTTTCCACCGAGTACGTATCAAACCGGTTGCAGGAAGGTCGGTGCACCGAAAAGCAGTCGCCATGTGTACGGCCACAAGTTTTGAAGGAATGGTCCCAGCACTGGTGGTTTAAGACGTGCAGACACACACACACACACACACACACACACACACACACACACACACACACACACACACACACACACCGTCGGTACCGTTACACTTTTCTTGTCAGGATGTGTATAGCGGACATGACATGACAACACACACACACACACACATGTCAGGATGTGTATAGCGGACATGACATGACAACACACACAAACCCACACCCACACACACCCACACACACCCACCCACCCACCCACCCACACACACCCTCCCCCGAAAAAAGAAAAACAAAAAACACACACACACATACACACGCACAGAGCTAACACTGGGCAGCAGAGTCCACTGCAGGAGATTTTTCTTACACTCACACGCTTGCTCATCCGATGAATAAATGAAGTTGTTGAGATTGTAGACCAAATATTGATTTACAGATGATAACTCCTCTCCTCTTCCGTGCGTAACAAATGTCTCAGCGATCTGTGGGATACACACAACTCTGACAAAAACTGTTAGCTTTATTGTGGACATCAGAAAGACAGTAGTCATGCAAGAACACACTCACTTCACACACAGGAGGACGACAAATTGAGATGAAGGTACCCCCGCTGCCACCGCCTACCCTTTCCAGCTTATGTGATGATCTTAGCTGATGGTCCTAAGACTCCTAACCCTTCGTCCAAAAATTTTGCAGCTTTCCGCGTCCTGTTTGACGACAGGTGTTGCTGTGCCACAAACAGCGTTTCATTCCCCCCCCCCCCTCTTCTAAATTGCGCCAATCACAACTCGTCTTTTGGCGCCGCTGTCTTGGTTGCCTTCTTCTTCTTCTTCTTTTGTCGTTTCTGTGCTGCTGCTTCTTCCTGCGCTTTCTTTGCCACAGCCTCTTCCTCTGCTCTTCTTGCAGCGGCCTCCTCTTCTATCTCCTTCTCAACCTGCAGACCAACATCACAGAGTAGTAGAGTACATAAAGCACATAGTTACAATTCTATCAACGACAACAAAAGAAGTACAATTTTTAGCAACAAAAACAAAAGATGACAAGTCTCATTTGCACAGATACCCCTGCTCAGTGAAGGGAGTTAGAATCAATGCTACAGATGGAATCCTGGGCCTTGAAGAGATCATCCAACAGAGTAGTAGAGTACATAAAGCACATCAACGACAACAAAAGAAGTACAATTTTCATCAACAAAAACAAAAGATGACAAGTCTCAGTCCTTCGGGACATCCGTTAAAATTGAAACGATACAGAGAAGATTAGCATGGCCCCTGCGCAAGGATGACACACATAAAACAAGAAATGGTCCAAATTTAAAAAAAAAAAAGAAAAAAAAAAAAGATGACAAGTCTCATTTGCACAGATACCCCTGCTCAGTGAAGGCAGTTGAATCAATGCCACTGATGGAATCCTGGGCCTTGAAGAGATCATCCAACAGCTGCCTGGACCTCAGGACCCTGCTGTCTCAGAAAAAGCAAAAAAAGAGAAAAGGGGGAAAAAAACGATACTGCTGTCCAACAACACTCAGGTCCAGTGCAGAAGGGAGGGGGGTGGGAAAGGGGGGTATGGGGGTCGGAAACGGGGGTGAAGAGGTGGCAGGGGGGGTGCGACTTGTGCTGAATAAACTTCCCCCCCCCTCTCCCACCCTCCAAGGTGTAGGTTGTGAAGGTGATTCCGCGGGGTTCACCCTTATTAAGTCAACAGTCAGTGTTGACGGATCAGATCGAACGCAGTTTGCCCTTCTCCGAGGATCTTTTCGATTCAGAATCTGCCTTTCGGATTCGGTTTGATCGATCAGATAACGACAGTTGAATGGGTTATAGCATGAATCTGCCCAGTTTTGTGCCCAGGTGCTTTCTTACTTTTCAATTCAGAATCTGCCTCTCGGATTCGATTTGACCAATCCAATAACAGGAGCCAAATGAGCAAAATGCCCATTAGATTGCAAACTAGTGCCCCTTGGTCTCATTCCAGAAATATGCCCCGCCCTATACTCTAGCCAATAGAGCCGATGGGCCTCTTCGGCATTCTTTATGTCAGTCGGGTAAGAGGCGTGTTCCACTGGTGCTTTGCCTGTCATGAGCGGACCTGGGTGTAAAAAACCTGCCAGGTTCATGCAAACCTTTCTGCAAATATAGCACACACATGGCACGATGGTAGCACAAGCATAGCAAGCGTAGCATAAGCATGGCCCAAACATAGCACACACATAGCATGAAGATTGCACAAGGATAGCACAAGCATAGCAAGCATAGCACAAACATGGCCCAAACATGGCCCAAACATAGCACAAACATGGCTCAAACACAGAACAAACATGGTTCAAGCATGGCCCAAACATAGCACCAACATAGCATGAAGATTGCACAAGGATAGCACAAGCATAGGAAGCATAGCACAAACATGGCCCAAACATAGCAAAAACATAGCCCAAACATAGCCCAAACATAGCCCAAACATAGCCCAAACATGGCCCAAACATAGCACAAACATAGCACAAACATGGCCCAAACACAGCACAAACATAGCACAAGCATGGCTCAAACACAGAACAAGCATGGTTCAAACACGGCACAAACATAGCCCAAACATAGCGCGAACATAGCACAAAACATAGCACTAACAGAGAACATAACACAAACATGGCACAACACAGCACACATGTAGCACAAACATAGCACTAATATAGCACCAACATAGCACCTACATAGCACCTACATAGCACTAACATAGCAACGACATAGTACAATTGGGCCCTGTCATTTCCTAAAGGTTGCTAGAACGCCTTGCGCTTCTCAGCCGTAATCTCAACTGTAGGTAGGTTCACTAGAGGAAAGTAGTTCATGATCCTCTTGCAATTAGTCCCTGCTGAGGAGATCAAATGCATGGAGGGTGTTCTGTCTGCATCTCCCCTGCACATCTCAGCACATCCTTCCCTTCTCCCTTCCCCCTTCCCCCTTCCCCCTACCACGCCCTGCCAAGAAAAGAGCCGGGGGAGGAGAGTGTCGGGGGTAGCCCATGACTGGATTTGAACTCTTAACCTGTTTATCAACAACAGTTATATGTGTACCAAACGTGCATTTTTACCACAAGCACAAGTTTGCACTTCCTCTCAACAACAGTTATTGTTGACTAGACGTAAGGAAAGGGAAGAGAATAACCAAGCAGCAAAAGGACAAAGCAAGCAGCAAATGGAAACCAGAAAAGCACGACTCACATCACTAAAAAATGATGGTGTTTTTTTGCTCTAAAGCAAATTTCAACTTCTTAACCATCAAGTCGATGGGCAAAACAAAAACAAAAACAAAAAGTCGATGGACAACTCCATGGCCCTACAAACTCTCAGAAGAGTCTCTTCTCTTCTCTCCTCTCCTCTCCTCTCGTCTCGTCTCGTCTCGTCTCGTCTCGTCTTGTCTTCAAGAAGAAAGACGAGAAGAGAAGGAGAGAAGAACAAAAGATAGAAGAGAGGAGAGAAGAGGAGAAGAAGAGAAAATATAGGAGAGGAGAGAGGAGAGGAGAGGA